ATGGGCTTGTGATATATCGTTTGAAAGGTCTCTTCATTCTCTATTCAAAAATGTTATCACTTTCAAGTTTATTGCAACAATTAAGATAAAATAAATCAAAAGTTCATTAACTTCAAGTCTGACGAATGGTTAGATTAACGGAAATGCATAAAATAACAGTTTTACAAATGATTGGTTACGGATATAAAACACGAACACAACAGGAAGTAGCTTGCCTATTTCATGAGAAATTTCCTAATTTACCCCCCATATCTAAAGGAACAATAAGCAAAATAGAGAAGCAGTTTCGCGAGCTTGGTCATGTGGGGCAGATAAAAAAAGCAGCTGCCAATGCAATAAGTGATGAACTCAAATTAGATGTGATGCTTGAATGTTATGATGCTTGAATTCAATGTTAGCCATACATCGAAAGTAAACATATTAAAATAAAATGCATCCCTATAAAATGATACCTACTCAGGAGCTCATGGAAGGCGATTTTGATAGAAGAACTTATTTTTGTAAGCAAATGATGGACATGTTGGATAACAATATCATCCAACTAAAAGACGTTATGTTTTCTGATGAGTATACTTTGTCTCTTAACGGTCATGCTAATCGGCAAAATTACCGCTACTGGTCAACGGGAAATCCTCACTGAATGAGAGAAGAACTCATGTAATAACCTCAAAAGGTCAATGTTTGGGCAGGGATTGTAGGAAACCATATCATTGGTCCCTTTTTCACTGAGGGCAACTTAAATAGCGATAATTATTTGGCACCACTTCAAAATGATGTCATTCCAAGTTTAGCACATTTATATCCTGATCCACGAAACCCTCAAGTTCCAGTGAATACCATATAGTTTCAGCAGGATGGAGCATCACCACATTACCAAGTTAATGTCTGGCAATATCTCGATACAACATTTCTCAATCGGTGGATAGGGAGGCGAGGACCGATTGAATGGCCAGCGCGATCACCTGATCTTTCATCATTAGATTTCTTTTTATGGGAATATGTAGAGAGCAATGTGTAGAAAACCAAACCTTCAGATTTGAATGACTTAAAAGAACGAATAATGCTTGCGATTAGGTCGGTTGCTCCTGATATGTTGAATAATGTTAGAGATTAGGATGTTGCCAAGACGTTCGCGGTGAACATCTTGAACATCTACTTCGTTAATATCCATAGTTCTTTTTTGTATTCTACATTTCATTACGTTTTGCATTACATTTTAGTTTTTGTGTGTATTTTATCGAATTTCGGTAACAACATGATTTTAATTTATTCTATCTTAATTGTTCCAATGAACTTAAAAGCGATAACATTTTTGAAAAATGAAATCAATTATGGAGAGGTGAAATGAAATGAATTTTCAATACAGTTCAAAAAATCAAATTTGATCTGGAAGATTAAGTGGAATGTTCAACATTCAAATTCTTCAACTGAAATTAGTCCCAGAATACACAGGGTGTTTCCCAACTACGAAACTTCAGAGAGTGATTCGTTAAGTTGTTTAAAGAAAAAAAGTTTTTATGAACATATGTCCGGAGATACAGGGCGTTGAGTTTAAAAAAAAACGGTATTTATAAAATATTGTAAATATCCTTACAATAATAATTTTTACCATATATTTTATTTACGGACGAAACAAATTTTTCACGAGATGCTATTTAGACTTTCACAATGACAATTTTTACTACCTTATTGGCCCATTTTTACTAACAAGATTAAAAGGCGAAACCTACACGGACTTTCCACATCACCTACCCTAATCGCTGGATTGGACATGCAAGACTTCAAAATTGGCCAGCTCGCAATCTTGATATGAATCCTCTAGATTTGTTTTTTTGTCATCTGACGGCTTTTGTTTATGAAATTCCTGTACTAGATGTGAATGACTTGAGGAATCGAATGCCATAAGGAATACTACAGATATTTTTGAACGTGTCAGAAAATCAATCACGAATCGATTTTGCTAATTTACTTTAAGGCCGAAATTGTTTATTATTTATTTTATGTTGTCCATGGATATATTTTAAAAGTGACTTTTTTCTCAAAAACGAAGCTTGATATGAAGAAAACACAAGCGACAAAAAAGTTGTATTTTCAGTTGATTGATTTAAAAAAATGAAAAACTTCAAAAAAGTCAGTGGCCTAATAATTTCAATCTGGACCCAATAATTTCAATCTAGTTCGGGCTAAATAAGCGCCTTATTACTTCAAATTACTATAGCCAATCGGTGATATTTTATTAATACCCTTTTTTAACTTCAGAAACGAAGTAATTCCGGACATATATTCATAGGAACATTTTTTCTTAAAACGGCCTAATATCACCCTCTGAAGTTTCGTACCGTAAATTGGAAACACCCTGTATAGAATCGATCAGATTACAATGTCGTTAAATAGAAAAGTAAATTTTTAGCTGAAAGTGAAATCTAAAAACAACGCATTCGTGATCACACATCACTGTTTCGGTTTCGATTCGCTAGGTGCGATGCTAAATCACGATTGTGGACACAACTGGTCTTAAAAGGAGAAATCCATAACAAGTCGAAAATGTACTGGATGGCTTTAGATCAGTAATGCTTTGTTCTTGGGCTCTGATTTCATCTAGTTGCTCTGCAGTGCATACTGCAGAGAAAGACAGAAAGCAATTTCTCATTCGGCTGTCGATGTCGAATCAAGGTTTGAGTTTTCTATCCTTCCTTCTATGCTCACTTAATAAACTCCAAGTTTCTATAATTCTATCATTATTTCATAGAATCTAGAACATTACAGTACTATCTACAAATGAAGTCATCTATGAGAACATATATAATAATTTTTGGTTGCCACTTTTTCAATTTACGAGACCACCCAACTCCATACATTCAAACAATTCGGATTATATTATTCACACACGTAAAGATATTAAATTATATACAGGTTACATCAAAGTCTTGGAAAGGTCAAATATTTCCATGTTGTACGAAAAGCGATATTTTTTCAAAATCGTTATGTGTTTACACTAATGTTTTACTCTGAATTGGCAGAATAATAAATTCTTGTGTTTTACCGTACCGGTGCTATGGTTTTTTTGGTTCTTCTAAAGACCGGTCATTCAGTTTTTTATAATGAAACAGTTTGTACTTAAATGTTATTTTTAAATGTACTTTTTATGATGTAATCAAAAATATTATGTATTTAAAAGTACAAAGAATCTCAGTGAGAAATAATGACCAAGAGTACAGAAAAATTGGCAATGGATTACAACCTTTTGATTTTTTACAAAAGATAGGAAAAACTTTTTTTGGAATACTTCACGATATAATTTTTCTACTCTGAAGTTGATACCTTGAAAACATGGCAATGGAAAGCGAGTATGGGAAGTGTAAGAGCTGGTGTCGTAATGAAAATGATGCTTCGTTCATTTTCGAATTATAAACTCCTATAACCATCCAAATATCCCGAATGCGAAATCAACCGGACCATCTACCTGCTGCCCATGGAAAGGGACGAGCGAGGAGGAGACAGTCTCGCACCATTCAAAAGCATCCTTACTGTTCAAAACCACCCACAACCAAAGATTAAATGTTATACTGGCGCCCAACGTGGGGCTCAAACTCACGACCCTGAAATTAAGAGTCCCATGCTCTGCCAACTGAGCTAGCCGAAGAGCATAAGCCCCTCGTAGGACTACGTACGAGGGGCAGACCTCGAAAGAATCAACCTTCCAAATATTCATCGTGTTCCTTTCCAAGTGGTGAGCAGAACACGAGGGGGGAACTGTAACGATCCAAATATCCCGAATGCGGAATCAACCCGACCTTCTACCTGCTGCCCATGGAAAGGGACGAGCGAGTCACCGCGGTCACCGAACGCGTATCAATTAATATTTTAACCTTATCTGTCACAAACAAAATATTTTCGCACCATTCAGAATCATCCTTACTTTTCAAAACCACCCACAACCAAAGATTAAATGTTATATTCGATATTTTAGGTAATCCGAACAAAGCAATTTAAGACAGCATGGCTCTATTCCTATAGATTCACCGATTATGAATGTTGTTCTCCAAAATTTTGTTGGAATAATACAGAATAATTCGTTATTAATGATAATCATGAAGTTAAATTACAGTTCAGGTAATCAAGGCGACTAGTCTATAAATATAGAGATTCGTGTAGTATTTAAAACGTGCTGTAGTGATCTAGAATTTTCAGTTATAGTTTAGACAAACTTTTTTGTTAGATAGGAAATTTACAAAACTTTTTGTGCCTCATTTTTTTCCATCACAAAATAATAATTAGGAAACTTACAAACAACATACAAAACATTTGGTGGGCATCTGCAATATTAACTATCAGTGCAATGAATGACCTTCAAAATTTAAAAACATCTATATTTTTGAACTCGTATCGAGATCAGTACGTTATTATAATTACTAAAGATTATTTCATATTGCATAGTTATATGTAGTGATGCAATATTAACACTACATCATTCTATAAGAGAACAAAAATTCAGTTTGTATGTACTATTCGGTTATCAATAAGTATATAGTTCAAGTTAATAGTGAAATCCTAACGAATATTCACGTTAATAATTTGATTGAAAATATATTTCTGGAGGAAAAACTTAATTAAATGTATACATTGTCTTCAATCTGAAGGATTTTCAAGGCAATCAGTTGCAAATAAATGAAACTTACTCACTTTCACCACAAATTCTCTAGGGTGATTAGACTCAACTGAACCATTAGGTAAGGACTAGACTCGACATGAAAACATCCAAAATAATAACTATCGGTATTTCACTTACTTGAATTTTAAATTTGTATTTTTTATTCATATCTGGCTTTTCAAAAATTCTAATTGAAACTCGTTGAGAATCATCCTGTTTTGTACTTTCATCATCTGGGCTGAATAATTTTAGAAAATTCTAGATTATTCAATAAGCTACAGAAATAAAAATTATTATCCCAGTATTTGAACTGAAATTTTATCTCATGCCTCCATGTTTTTTTTTTCAGAACGAGTGCAAACACCAGCAACGCATCAAATAATAACAAATATTACACCTGGCAATCCAGATTACCAGAAAGCTAACCCGAAAGGAATGTACAATTACGGCGATCAAATCCTAGAAATGGACACCAACAGGTATCTATCGAATCAATACTATCTTCAACGTGGTAGCCCGACGTACTCCACACTCCCACTGAAGAAAACCCAGTTTTTCACCGATGAAATAAAAACTGAAAGATCCATCACACCCGACATCACAAGAGGCCTAGAGAGGAATCACACGAACAGTTTTGGTCGAACGGAAAATATTCAAGACGCATCGACGAGGAATTTTCACAAACCTGCAAAGATGGGCATTCCTGTTCAAATGCCAGATATCAACAGACTCACTTTCCAGAACGTGCCTTCAATCGATACATTGAACGAAAATCGGAACTATGTACCCATCCGACCATATGAAGAGGGAGATTCCCTAAGAATTTCTCCAATAGACCCCAGACACTCCGGTGGTTTCCAGTCTTCAACGCCTTCCGCTAAGAATAAAGAACTGAGGGCAGCTTCAAACTTGGAAAGTAAGTTACTATCTCCCAAAAAGTCAACAATGTCAAATGAAGAACTGTATGCTGTCATTCACAAGAGCAAGAAAAAAATGAACATAGATACAGACGACACACCTAGGTCTTCGCCGGTGACAGTGCAAAGCGAACCTGCTTCCAGACCAACGGTAAAACCTCCCGAATCTGGATATCTGGGAGACAAATCCAAATCCAGGTTGAGCTGGTCTCCTAGTAAGGGAGAGTATGTGGATTTCAACCAAGACATAGACAAACTGTCACCTCCAAACGAGTCCAGGTCTAGGCAAAGCTGGGCGTGCAGCGACAGAAAACCAAAGATCAAACAAACTTCTACAATTGATTTTAAAAGACTGCTTCTTCAAAAATCCAGCATCGGTTCTCCGAAGAAACTATCGGCTGTTGAGCAGCTCAAGTTGTCCAAGCAGCAAGTACAACATCCTCAGCCAAAGACTCAACCGGAAATGAACATTTTGGACTTGAGTGGTTCGCCGAGGAGCTTGGTGAATAGGAGATTTATGAACAATCAACCTTCCTCCCCGAACCGAGAGCCTAAACCTGCAGCTAAAATACTGTCACCGAGATCTCAGTGGCGGTTCGCCAGTCCGAGGAGTGACGTTCTCTCTTCTACAATACTGGAAGATTGTAGAGAAGACGAGAGCCCTAACAGTTCTGGGGAAAGGAAGGCCTCACCTAAGTATGGAAACAAAAATAATAGTACAAATGATAAAAATGAAACTTCGTCGCCTAAAGGAATGCCAAGAAATAACTCTGAAACAAAGTCTTATACCTCTGCAACGCAGAGACTTCATGCTCAAAGAGCTCAATTTTTCAATCCTGTGACACAGACAAGTAGTCACTTGAGAGGACAAGAAGCTAAGGATAAGTCTAATCCGCCTACTCTAGAAACAGCGTTTTAGTTTTAAGGTTTTGATTTTTATTTATTTTTGTAAATAAACCTGAACGGAAAGTTTTGGTTTTTCCTATTTATTTTCTGGTTTTACTGGCTAGTCGACAAACCATTAGTTTTTTACATTTTTATAACTGAAATGTTTAAATATTATATTCATACAAGTTTTTCAATTGTACAAACATTGCTGTAAATACATTTTGGTGATGCTTCCAAAAAAAAATTGTTTAGTAAAGTTGCCTTAAATTATTGTAAATCTTAATATATTGATTTTTGTAAATAAATGTTTTGATTTGGCTAATACACTATGTGTTATTTTTTTATATCCTGGATTAGATATTTGAGATATAATTTCCAAATAATGATTTCACTCTAGATACGAGTTATTGATTCAATGTATGTTGAAAATGAAGACCTAAAGGGTAAATCGGATCATATAATCATTTTTGAAGAGCAAGAGTGGTTGATGTAGGTAAAATTAGCTTCAAATAAAGATGGATTTGTCATATTTTCGAAAAACGTTTTTATTCATCTTGGGAATGATAGTAAATAAACTAAATCTGATGTCTATTCAACTTCACAAATTCCACTTAACCTTCAATCAGAAGACAAGTAGAACAGAAGTCTGAAACTTATAATATTATTCCTGTAAAGCACACTTTTCTAAATTGTAGGGTATGGAAATAATACCAGTAGACACATTCAAACCAATTCTCGTTAACTGTAACAATATTGCAGAAATGGTGATATTATAAATCATGATTGTTCCTGGGCTCGCCGCCTTCTCTTATATCAACGAAAAATATTTAAAAAATTGTTTGGGTACGTCTCAAGATGTCAATCACTCGAAACATTGAGAAACTCATTTTGAATGCTCAAGATTCCAGAAAAATGACAATATTATGACTACAAAATCCTCACTCATCAGTTCCTAGACAATATGACCCTCGAGACATTCCTGGATTTGACCGAATCTTTAAAATATTAAAGATGGAAATGACTTATAAAACTCTATGACCCTTAGAGAAATTTTGCAACCCGAAAGACAAAATTGTGAAAATAAATATGATTTTTATAGGTGAAGTTAGTTTCGAAAATTTTGGTAAACCCTACATAGGTACTTCTATTCTTTAGTTTATGTAAGTAATATTTATCAAGAATATCCCATGAATATAAGATAAGTAACAAGGTTGACGTGAATCATTCAGAAATGAACTGCATAGAAAACAGTATTTTTCAGTTCCGGTGCATGACGAAAAGTAAGTGTGTCTTGTATACTCCTTCTCTTCAACGTTAAGATGCATATCAGTAGAGCAGACCTTTTTTATGGAATACTTTGTCAGTTTCGAATGGTAAGTATACCTGTAAGTTCTGATGTACGTTGAATCTCATAAAATGAGTTGTCTCATTTACTAGAATTGTAGAAAAACTATCTCGAATTAGTTGAAAGTAAAATAATTTGAATTTCACTAGTTCGGACTTCGAAATACCAGAGTATTTTTATATTTCTGATGACAGTTTTTTTGTAATTTTTTATTTTGATGGAGGATGTGCTAGAGTTCCGAATTGTCTGAATAAGGGTTTACAATGTCCATCAAAGATTTGTACTGTCATTATTTTCTGGGTCACTTTAAAATTTCCATGTATCATAATAATACATATACCTACATTAAGTACACAATGTATCTCAATTAAAATAGGTTGTTTCAAAAGTTTTGTCCGTTTTAATGTCCCGTGTGGCCTAAGTGGTCGACCTATAATAATCCAGGACGAGGATTTGAGGACCCCAGTGGAGAATGACCCATCACAAACGGCGTCTGGGATGGCGGAAGAACTGGGCATCAGCTCCCATGTGGGTTTTGATGGTTTAAAACTCATTGCAAAGGTCAAAAAGCTTGAAAAGTATGTTCTTTACTTTTGGGTAACCAAAACGATCCTTTTTTATATCGGATCGTTACGTATGACGATCCGGGCCAAACCGTCTCAGCAGAGTCCTATCGTGAGTAAAATTGCATCAGCAGTAGCCAGCACTTGTCATCAGATGAGGTCCGATCCTGCTCCACGACAACGCCCGTCCCCACGTTTCACAAATCACCGTCCGAAAGTTAAACGAATTGAGCGTCGAAGTCCTGCTTTACCCACCATACTCCCCAAATTTCTCGCCAACTGACTACCATCTTTTCAAGCACTTCGATAACTTTCGCCAATCAGGACCAGGCAAAAACGGTCTTCGTCGACTTCATCGAATCTCGAGTACAAATTTTTCATGCTGGCGGAATTAATCGACTTGTGTAACGTTGGCAAAAGTGCACCGATTCAAATGGCGCTGATTCTGATTAAATTGAGTAAGTGTTCATTGAGGAGTAGATTCATAAAAATGGACAAAACTTTTGAAACAACCGAATAATATTGCTCCAGATCATATAAATATATAGACAGACAATAGACATGCCAAAATATAAGTGACAGTATAATAAAATATCAACACATTAAAAAATTAAAAAGTACTGATAGGGATCTGAGAGACTGAATTTCATTAGAAAGTGTATAATTATAAAGTTATTGCAAAGCAGTTTCGACTTTCGTCATCATCAGTGTTCACCTGAGAGTAAGTGATCTAATTGGAAAGAAAGTTTTGTGAAAATAGAAGTTTGCAAAAAATTTTTTTAAGGTTATGAAATTTGGAAAATAGTTTATGATTACTTACTTGTCAGGCAACAGGGAGTATCAAAATGAGTACATGGCACATTTGTGATATTTGACTTACATAAAACAACATAGGCCGATAGCCAAGAAATTACATTTTTGGATTGAGGCCATGTGGTTCAATCACAGTATTATATGAAAGAAGGGCAACTTGAGACAAGGATATGGTGATATTTAGTTCGCAGAATCAGATGCTCAAAGAAAAACTACTACAGGAAGATGAAAAAGACGCAACAACAAAGTGTGTGTGGTTCGCGCTTTAATTCAAATTCGGTTGCAAGGTTTCGAGGTCAGATGTTAAATACGTTAGGAGAAAACAGTTGCATTTGCTATAAGTGCGGGAATCGACATGGTAAAAATCAGTGCCCAGCTTTTGGAAAAAAATCTCGAGTGTGTGGTTACAATAATCACTTTGCAAAAATGTGTAAAAAGAAGATTATTTGTTGTAGAGAAAAATCTACAATGTATAGTAGGAATTGACGCATGCCAGAAATTGAATTTAATCAACGCGTAGATGTAACTGAACAAATTGATATTAATAATTATCATAATTTTATTGAGAAAAACAAAGATCTCTTACGGGATTGGGATGGTTGAAAAGTAATTATAAAGTTCAATTAAAAGAGAACGTTACTCCAGTTGTTCATGCAACACGAAAAATTCCAATGCCTTTATATAAGCAATTTAAAAAACTTTAGCCGAATTCGAGAAGGCAAAAATAATAAAAAAGGTAGAAGAACCTACTGACTAGGTGAACTCTATTGTAATTATCAGAAAAATTGGGAATTTGCTTAGATTCTCGTGATTTGAATTTGGCTATCAAACGTGAACATTTTCAGTTACCATCGATTGAGCAAATTACTTCAAAATTATCAGGAGCTCAATACTTCAGCAAATTAGATGCCAATAGTGGATTCTGGCAGATTAGTTTGGATGAAGACAGTGCAAAGTTATGTACTATATTACAAATTTAGAAACGAAATTGTTGAAAGTAATGGTATTTTATTTAAGGGACCTAAAATTATTGTACCAGTCCAATCCAAAAGTGTCAAATCCAAAAAAAGAATTAGTGATACATGACATTGAAACAATTCCATGGTATAAAATTGGGTGTGACATTTTGTATTTGGGAAGTGAAATGTATTTACTTGTAGTAGATTATTACACCGAATGGGTTGAGGTTATACCATTAGATGAAAACGCTCACTCTCAAAAATCTGAAAAGTTTATTCGCAAGACTAGGTATTCCAGTTATATTAATTTCTGATGGTGGCCCTCAATTCAATTCAAATCACTTTCAAGAATTTGCTGAATAACATTATGTCCAGCCCTCGATATCCTCAGTCAAATGGGATGGTGGAAAGAGCGAAACAGACTTTGAAAAAAATGATACAAACAATTGAAGATAGGAGGGAGATAGAGTTGGTTTTGTTAATGTATAGAAACACTCCCATGGAAAATGGCTTTACACCATCTCAACTGATGATGTCTCGTAATTTAAGGTATACATTACCAAGCACTGAACATAATTTGAAACCACAAAAGATCAATTTTGAAAATTACAATAAGTCATTAGAACAGCAAAGACAAAAGCAAAAACAATACTATGATCGTTCTTGTAAAAGTTTAAGACCTTTAAATATAAATAATAAAGTGAGATATCAAACTCATTTAGGATCCAAATGGTCGTTTGGTAAAATAAAAAACAAACCTAGAGAACGCTCATATGGTATAGAAAAAAATGATGGAACAAATATCATTAGAAATAGAAGATTCATTGAAATTTTGCCAAGTCAAAATGATCCACCACCTGACAATAATGATGTCGATATGACTGATCAAGATGAGTTTGAATCTTCATATTTGTCTAATAACAGTAGTGACTGCTACTCTAATCCAGAAGCAACATCATCTGGTAGACCAATTAAAAAGCCAGACAGGCTGATGTACTATTAAAAATGTTAATTTCTTTATTTTTTTTAAAATTGTAATTTCATTGTTGAAAAAAAGGGAGATATCACGTATTGTATTTCTTATTCTCAATCAATATATTGTACACCATGTAAACATAGTAAATCATAGCAGCCTTGGCGGAAGCAAAAAGTAAAAGTTTAGCGTTTTTTTATGAACTGAAATAAAGACAGTCTATTAGAAATCTTCGTTTCATTCAGATATATAACAATTGTGTACTGTTATTGATGACATGAGTAGATTGAACTCATTCATGACATAAAGTCGTAATTTTATGAATGGACTGAGTGCTTCTTCTTTTGTTATCCAGATTTGGTGATGAAGAGGTGATAAGGCAAATTGTGCGGAAACATCTTATGTCCACCAGTCAGGATGACAGTGTTCATGCGACTCAAATTTTACCTCATTCATTTACTATATTGTGTAGCAATATCTGATCCAATTCCATAATAAATGTTTGGAATACAAACTGAATAGAGGAAAGTGTTTTCCTGAATAATGAAAAAGTCACAGATGTTTCCATTTCTTTATTTTCGTACTTATTGCCAGGCTTGTTTTTGCTGTTCGAAAACTGTTGTGAATTCAAACTATTTTCAATTGGTTTTTTTGTTAACGATTTTTTGTAAACAATTCTTGGCATTATTCATAACACCATATAAAATGTCAATGGCCCTTTCAACTGGTGGCATTCAGAAGAAGTTTCACAATCATTTTTATATAAGTGTTATCAAACATTGACTGAAATCTAATATTATTATTGATCTTCTAGTACACAGTGTAATATTAGTTTTTCACTAGCATTCAAGTTAGCTCTAATCCAGAGTTCCTCGATTTTTACATGTATAAAGGTGAAAATTCAAAAACTCGAGTAATATTTAACCAGCATTGAGATTTTTAGAGTTTTCCTTTCGGGGGCGTTCAAGTATTAGATAAACATATTTATTACAATTATTCAACCCCCTTGTCAGCAAAAGTCAGCGAAGCTATTACCCCCTCTCCCATGCTTACGTAAACATTGTTAAATGAACTTTTAATTTTTCAAACATAGACAATGTGTGGGTTGCCATATGTGTAGAAAAGTAAATAACTACTGAAGTCAGCGAAGCTATTACCCCCTCTCCCATGCTTACGTAAACATTGTTATATGAACTTTTAATTTTTCAAACATAGACAATGTGTGGGTTGCCATATGTGTAGAAAAGTAAATAACTACTGCTGTCATAATCACCATTTAGACCCCCCATGTCATCAAAAATAAGCAAAGCAAAGACCCCCGTCCCCCTATAGTGCTTACGTAATACTTGATCGGCCCCTTCTCTGTGGGATAATAGAAATTCATTGAATTTTAATCTTTGCCTTAGATTGAGAAGCTATTAAATATTAATGTTAGGGTAATTTATTGTCACACAATCAAGAAAATAAGTTGTTGACGCTGCCTAATAGCATATCCCAGTCGATGCCGTTGACACCCATGAAAAAAGTAAAAATTTGCATTTATCTCATAAGAATATATTAAATGTTACTTAATAATTAAATATATAATTCCACTATACTATAAACACTCTTAAAGCTTCAAATGGATAGTATTTAGAATACCAAAATAATTGTCCTCTTTATGAATTTTCACTAATTTTTCATTGGTGGCCCCATAGGCGGACGAACTGGTCCCATAGGACCCATAGGTCCCATCGGTCCCATGGGCATACCCATCATTGGAGGTCTCATTCCCATCATTGGTGGCATTGGTCCGTGTGGTCCCATCATCATTGGAGGCATTGGACCACCAGGTCCCATTGCTGTAAAATTAAATTAAAAGGTATCAAAGAACTGTTCCGACTAAACTGAAATTATATTCTATCACAAGTCGTGATAAGTTGTTGACTTTGCAATATACATTTCAAAATTATAACACGATATTGAATGATATATTATTCTTCAAATCAGTGCGATAGACCTCTTCACGAGAAAGAAAAAAGTTGGAGTTCAAGTACTTACATGCAAAATTTGGACTTTACACTCAATACCTCACCTCTACATAAATGGATTTAGTTACTTAAACGTCACTTAAATGAAAGTTTTTAAATTTTCAACAGTATATATTCGGTTCTCGATTATGTCAAACTTTTCATCACATTGATGAAAAGGTGAAGGAGGAAAAAATTTTGTTGTACATCTCTAAGAATTATTGATGTTTCCACACTGAATCTGTAATGGTCTAAAACTAATCCACATATTGTTGTTTATAGAGACATATTGATAATTTTGTTAAGATATTTTGATAATGCATACTAATGACCTACTGACTACAGTAACCTAAGGTTTCCTTACCAGAGCACGATACAAGAATTAGAAATTAAACTAGATTTTGAATTTTATACAAACCTAGATTTCGTTCAACTGCTTTCATAGATAAGAGAAAAACAAGTTTCGATTTAATAATGTTTTTGAAAATCTCACTGAAAGCCTTCAAATGCTATTGACATTGATTCATTTTCATTGAACCCAAATTATTGACAAAAAAAATTTACGATTAGAAAGGCAGATAGTGAATTTGAAAAAGTATATGTAATTTATGAACAGTGTAATCTAAAACTTGCCTATAAATTGAATTACTTCAATCACCTGTATGATTAGTGTGCACTAACTGTTTCAGGTGAGAAATACACACAGTGGCAGTCTTCTGATTGATTTCTGACTAATATATAAAACATGTTTAAAGATTATATTCTCTTGAAAATAAACGTGTTTTTCTACAGACCCTTTGAATGCATAACATTCCACAATACTAGGCAGGGTGGTAGTGTACCCCAATAATTTTTTTCCATGATAAAAACATATGAATAATTTATCTCTCAATCTGCCCCTATTTTCAATAATGCTATTAGGGGACTAAATCCACCCTCTTTCTGGTATTTTAAAGTACATCTTTGGTTCTTACAGCTTTTTGAGTTCAATTTGGAACGGAATACCAACATTTGTTCTAGATACTTTTAATGTGGACGATTGAGAACCCAAAAAAATCTGCAACAGAATATTGGTATTCATTTGTGATGAATTTGAATAATATCTAGTAATGAAACAATAGTTAAATACCAAAGGCCAAAACAGCCAATGAAATCAAAAACCAAAAAAGAAAGGTTGTCCTCATGAAAAATAAATGCTTATCTTGGTTATATTCTTTTTATAACAACACAACTCATAAATGCAAAAATTTGAGTACAGTTAGTCTTAGTTGAATAATAAAGTACATACAAAGTATAAAATCAATAATTAAGTCAATTCTTCATTGATAAATGTATATGTGTTGTATGTATTGCCGTTTCTAAACAATTATACTTTGCAAGTCATTAGTGCTAGGAATCATTGAAAGGTAAGACTTCATTAGACCTTAGCTCGCACAAGTTTCGACTTTTGAGAGTTGTCGTTCATAGGGAAGCGACAGCTGGTTAACAGAAAAACAAATTTCAACAAACAAATAATCGATTTTCCATGGCAACATTCACGCAAGAGCATTGATGTTATATATACCTACTCAGAATAGAAATCAAAATCTTTCTGATAATTGAGTTGATACATAGATACTGAGTAAATAAATAATTTGAATTGAAATTCGAAACATTCAACTCTCCCAAAGTCCGAACACAGTACGATCTGACAAATGGCAGGCGGAAAACAACTACAGATATTGAATTGTATCTGACAGACATTTGTGACAATCTCCTCACAGAGGGAATTTTGGCAGATGCAGATATGAATCCTCCATCTGAGATAGAATCTGTTTCAAATACGGTGAAATAGTAACAGTTTAATCTAGTGAACAAAGCCCCAAAAAGTAAGATTAGAATAGATTAATGTTTCAAATTAATTTCGAAGTACTTAGTTTTTCAGTGCTTACATCCAAAATAAGCACTGCAACAAATACTCTTTTTGACAAATACTCACCAATCAAGTTGGTGTCATCAGGAAATGAACTAGACATAGAACATATGTATCTCTTATTGATACAGCCATCAAACTCATCTGATTTCTGTTGAAATTTTGGTAAACCAGATGCTTCTTACCCATTACCATCATGAAATATCATCCCAGAAAAAATCGAGATCTTTGATTATCCCATAAAGTAAAATTTTCCCCTTAGAAGACATTCGTTATTTATCTGATGTATATTTGTTGACAAATGTGAAATCTCACCTCCTGGTGGTATCATTCCTGGTCCCCCTGGTCTCTGGCCCATTGTGAGTTGTGCTGGTGGTGGAATAGCAACACCTCCTTTTCCAGGCTGGGCAAATGGATTATTTGCTATTTTACCAGCCTTGAATGCTGCCGTTGTAGCATCAATCAAATGTTGTGCTTGTTCTTCCATCCATTTTTGGTAGAAGAATTTAACATTATCCTTGTGTTTTCGACCTGTACAATGTGTTTTTCTCACGCTTGGAGAATCATGAGTCAAATAGGTATCACAATAGTCACAATAATATTTTGGCATTTTTAAATTTGAAAGTTTCACCCAGTGTAGCTAAAACTTCACTTTTTAATTTTTGACGTTTTCAGTGTTTTCACAATGTTTGGTTATAACAGTATAACCAAACTCTTTTCTTTCCAGTGTTGCCAACTGGACGAACTATAAAGTCGCTACACATGAACCAAAATTCCGCTACACTGCTTTATATTCCGCTACGCTTGTATATCTGACGAAATCAGTTCGCGCATGTGCCCTTTCCGAAATTAAATACCACAAAACTTACAGTTTGTGTACCGTTTAGATACCACAAAACTGAACTGTCACTAATGTCAGGAATCAGGATCATGCTAATTTTCAACCGTGCAACTCAGTAGATGGTATCTAATTTTCTAAATTTACAGCAGTTAAGTTTTGAAAGCTGTTGTCTCGAAATAATGATTTTGAAAAGTAAAAATAAATATCAATTTGTTCACGTACGTATAGTCATACTAAGCTCTTGAACGATCATTCGCGACAGGTCTAATCCATCCTTTCAAGTTGGAATCAGACAACCGATGTTGAGAAAAAGTTTGTTTTCGAGATTCTCGTATTGTTTTTTAGCATGTCCCGTTCCCGTCCGTATCTTTCATCATGTAATGGCCTCAGTTACTAAGACCATAAAGCATTGACTGTGCATTCAATTATTCAATTGTCAGCTGTCAGCTTCGAGTGCTGTGTAGTGACACTTCTTCTTCTTCTTCCATATTTTTTTCAATATTGATTATTTGTAGAAAATTCCGCTACTTTATGTTCAACTCCGCTACGCCGCTACCGTCGAGAAAATTACGCCACGGTAGCGGAATTCCACTATGGTTGGCAACTCTGCTTCTTTCTTCCCATCTCCGTGACATTATCACAATCACCGAAAAATTGCTTAGTATTCTGTGAATTTATGGACTGTGGACTGGATAATATTAATTACCAAGTTATGCAACACATATTACTGATGACGTAGTCATAAGGACGTTCTTTTGTACAACATTTTGTGTATTGCATATATATTCATGTATTTGGGACACTCTTTATATTCGTTATCAAGTCAAGATGAACAAAATGTCAAATAAATGTGTATTACTAAACACGAATACAAACATCACATATTCATTTCAGAAAGTGTCATTAATTCGTAGATCAGATCAAATACAACTCGTTCACAACAGTTTTGTCGACGAGGTGAATAAGAATTATCATACAAATAAAAAATAAACGAAAAAAAGATACATCAAAATGGACGCACAACAGATCAAAAAATGTTAGAATTCCAAACTGCAATTATGTCTACCTATATAGTTGGAAGACAAACCGGGAATCGTCAAGCAAATGATAAATTATGATGAATACTGCATTCTACCTAACTTCGAAAATTTTGACAACAGGAATAAATAATCGTTTTCAAATTACAAACGCAGGTATCACAATCACCTTCAAATTCAAAATCAAATTTATAAACAAATGGAGCAGATCAATTCAAATGAGCGTAATTGTACTCAATTGCCACTCATTTTTAATGGAGCTCAAAATGTCAGCATGATTACAGTTTTGGTTGCTCCTAAAACTCCGAACGTAACGATCAAACCCTTAAACACAAACTCGCTGCTATGGTCAACGAACTTTTTTATATGCAATAGAAAGTTCGTGAGATACTTTTTCGTTGTCGAGAAACACCATCAGAGTTATTTCTTGATTGACAGATAATTGATAATTGAGAAAATTGTAAATTAATATTGTATTTCCATGGTTAAGTTGAAAAACACCAACGGGTGACACTTCGCCACTTTATCTTTGTCGAATACCTATTATTGTTATCTCTTTACATATGTGTCCAAAGATGAATAAAGACGATTTATTATTATTATATCACTCTGGATGGTTTGAAACCAGTTCATCATGAAAAATCAACACTACAAATAAAAATGAGCGACAATTTAGCGTGGGAAAAAGAGTTCTAGCAAGGTATTAAACCAGTAGGTTATAAACCGTTATGGAAGTCAGAGGAATTTATTAAGAAACTTAGGTTTCTGCACTATCACTATCAAGTGAAACTTAATGATGGATACATTTTGAAAAGACATATTGATCAGATAACGGCCACCAATTTGCCCAAAAGTAAATCCTTCTTTTTTGCGCCCGAAGTAGAAGTTACTTATCGAGATCAATCAAAACAGCCTAATATAACTGATTTGGTGACGATTTCAGTGCAAGATAAACAGGCTAATGAACCCGATAATATTCAAAATGAGGTGTCTGAACCAGATCAAGTTGAAGTACCTGATGATCAAACACCTCATGAGAGTTGAGATGTGAAAGAATGTGATTTAATAAGCCTGGGAGACGTGGTTTATGTTTAAAATCTGTTTTTACGTTAACCAGCTGTCGCACCCCTACGAACGACAACCCTTAGAAGTCGAAACTTGTTCAAGTTAAGGATTAACGAGGTCTTACCTTTCAACGTGTGATTCCTAACACGGGTTGGACGATAGTAAGTGAAAATTGATCGGTCAGACTAGGGCTTGAACCACCGACCAACACGGCAGTCAATTTGAGTGAGTGAACAAAGCACCCGCGTCGAACCGCCTGGCTACCTGACTATATGTATTACATATATTAGTTATATTTTCTTTCGTGGGACTATATATTTTAACAGAGGTTCCAACTTCATCTCATTGTAAGAAAACGGTGTCACTCTTGATGTCATAAAGAATTTATATAGGTAGAAGTGGAAATAACAGTTTTAAATTAAAAGTACAATTCAGTAAATTAGAAAATTTCATGTTTTGACTGTATCTGAAAGTAATGGTAGATTCCTGCAACAGCCTTAATTCATACTTTGCAAGTCATTAGTGCTAGGAATCTTTGAAAGGTAAGACTTCATTAGACCTTAGCTCGCACAAGTTTCGACTTTTGAGAGTTGTCGTTCATAGGGAAGCGACAGCTGGTTAACAGAAAAACAAATTTCAACAAACAGATAATTGATTTTCCATGGCAACATTCATGCAAGAGCATTGATGTTATATATACCTACTCAAATAGAAATCAAAATCTTTCTGATAATTGAGTTGATACATAGATACTGAGTAAATAAATAATTTGAATTGAAATTCGAAACATTCAACTCTCCCAAAGTCCGAACACAGTACGATCTGACAAATGGCAGGCGGAAAACAACTACAGATATTGAATTGTATCTGACAGACATTTGTGACAATCTCCTCACAGAGGGAATTTTGGCAGATGCAGATATGAATCCTCCATCTGAGAT